TGTTTATATAACTGGATTGATGCCAGTTACTAAAGAATAAAAACAACTAATATGTACCTGGTGCTTAAATGCCAGGCACTCTCACAAGCACTTTGCATGTATTAATTCAATCTTCAACAACTGTGTTAAGTAGGTATTATTTTTGTTTTACGAAAGAGGAAGGCACAAAGGGGCTAAGTAACTTAACCAAAGTCTGACAGCTACTAAGTGGTGAGGCTGGTATTCAAACCTTCATATGCTGGCTCGAGTTTCTCTCGGGCACAGTAGTGTGCTGCTTGTGAGAAAGGGCTAGATTTGCACACTTCCAAATTCAATGCCAGTAACACTGACCACATACTACATATGAGTTAAGGTGACACCTCAAAGGTACCCTCCCCCAACACATTCCCCCTGTGGCACTCTAAGGACCCAGGAGTGTACCCACAGGCTTGGAGCAGTCATAAATTGCCAGCCTGGTCTGCCCCACCCCATTCGAGCTTCAGTTCACACTGCTTCACTCTTTTCTCACAGGAGAAGGCCTGGGTTGGGCAGTGTTGGAGCAAGAGACCAGCCCAGCAGCACAAACTTGTTTCCAGAGAAGTGATGGGGAAAGACAAGGAAACCCTCATGAGGCGGGCAGCTGGGAAAGGCAAACCTGGTTGGGCTCTTCATCCAGGGGGCCTCACCTCAGCCCTATTGGCATCGGAAAAGGAACTCCTGCCAGGCAGCCCTGAGTCATTTGCTCCCCTCCCAACCCCTTGGAAGGGGTGATTTCCTGCAGGGCCCTCTGGGCAGCTCAGGCTCCTCCCAGGGGCTGTCCATCTTCTTATCTCACCTCAGGTCCACCCTGGGACAAAACAGAAGCTGGCTGTGGTGGAGCTGGCCCTCCTCTTTCAGCAGCAGGCCAGGATTGCTTGGACTGCTTAGATTCAGGACTATAAGAAAATATAGTAATCCAAGTTTGGGCTGCTCAGGGCCAGGACATCTCACAGAAGGTACAAGACAAGGGGCAGGTGGCAGGTGGCTAACTGGATTGGGCCTCTGCAGCTCTCTCCATTAGGACTAATGCTGGCAACTACTGGTCTTTTCCTCATTCACTTGGCACTACACCCCTCCTGATCTGTTTTGGACTTGGCCTCACACTTAGGAGAGACTCATACCAGGCCCTCTCCTAGATACAAATGTTAAATGAATGAACAAGACAGTAGAAATAGCTAAAAAGTGGTCCTAGTCAGAAGTGTCCATGCAGAGATGTTTGTTTGTTTGTTTATTTATTTATTTAATTTATGTCTTTTTGAGACAGGGTCTCGCCATACAGTTCAAGCTGGCCTTGAACTCACTTTGTAGCCCAGCCTGGTCTTGAACTCTCAGTGATCTTCCTGCCTCAGCCTCCTGAATGCTAGGATTACAGACGTGCACCACCATGCTCAGCAACAGAAATTTTAAAGAGAGGCTTTAGCTGGGCATGGTGGTATATACTTATAGTCCTAATATTTGGGAAACTGAGGCAGGAGGATCACACAAGTCCAGGAGTTCGACACCAGGTTGGGGAACAAAAAAAGACCCCATTTCAAAAACAAACAACGATTGACATGCTTTGTTTTTTTCTTTTTGATTGACATGCTTTGAAATGTTGTGGTTTTCCTCCTCCTCTTCTTCTTCTTCTCTTTCTTTTTATGTTCAAATAAAACAGAGTTAGAAAAAAGAAAAAGAAAAAACCTGAACAAACAACAAAACAAAGAAAACAAGACAGAACAGTCTTTGGCATCAAACAGACCTAAATTCAGATCGCAGTTCTAACCCTCAGAATGGCTTTGGCAGTTTGCTTGCTCCTTCTAAGCCTCAACTTTCTTCTCCCAGAGAGTGAAGACAAGGGTACCACAAAGTTACCGTGGGATGACACAAGAGAGACACCAGTCAGGGAAGCTATTGCAGTAACCAGTCCGGGACTAAGATGGTAGGAGTGGAGGGGTAAAAAAACTCTCAGATTCAGGGTATACTTTTGATATTTTTGAGGGATGTTCTGACAGGGCTTACTAATTAATTGGACACTGGGTGAGAAGTAGGAATAGAGGGGTACTGAAGTTTAGAGTTTGAGCAACTGAGTAGGTGGAAGTGCCATTTACAGAGGTAGTCAAGAGTAGGAAAACAAAACACAGGCTTAAGAGTAGGAACCAGGGGGCTGGGGATTTAGCTCAGTGGCATAAGTGCCTGCCTTGCAAGCAGGCAGTCATGAGTTCGATCCCCGGTACCGATAAAAATGAAAAAGACAAAAAAAATAAAATTAAAAAAAAGAGTAGGAACCAGAATCAAGAGTTTTCTTTTGGCAGGGCATAGTGGTGCACAGCAGTAATCCTAGCTACTGAGGAGGCAGAGATAGGGAGATGAAAAGTTTAAGACCAGCCTGGGCAACATAGTAAGACCACCTCTCAAAAAAAAAAAAAAGGATTTGTATCCCTGTCTTCCTTTCTCCCTTCCTTTTTTCTTCAGTTAGGATTTTACCATTATTTATTGCTCAGGTCTCACTATTATTTATTGCTCAGGCTCTGACCTTATGGCCTCAAATGATCCTCCCTTCCCACCTTTTCAAGTTGCAGGAGACAACTCCAGTGACTCCTCTTGAATGCAAAACAATTACTGTACCTGATTATTTGGAGACTTATTTCACTATACTGATATGTAGAGAGCTAGCTATAGTATTTCCTTCTCTCTTCAATTAGCTCTAAGCACTGCAAATAAGGCTAGCCAGGTGTTGGTATGTAATCTCTGAAGCCAATGACAGTCCTGTTTCCTCACATAGTTTTCTCCTTGTAAAAGATATGAGCACAGCGGGATGTTAGAGCTAATAGCTCCAGGAATGTCAACTGGGTAGGAGTTCAAAGTAAAGAGGCTATGACTCCCCAGGGCACAAGAGTTCACATATCAGAAACCTAAAATAATTCAGTTGCTACCTTAATTAGATTATGTGAATTGATCCTTCTGCATATTTTTATCCCTGCAATTTACAGAGACGCCATTCTTGCACCTGGCTGGCCAACTCCAGTTGCTTACATAATTCCCCCATCCTCACTGTCACTCATCCCTGAGCCATCCCCCTTCTTCACAAGATAATAAATTCTGGGAGAGGCCTAGGAACAACGCCCTTGTCTGAATGTCCTCACGAGGATTGGACTTAGGACTCCTTGGCTGCCCTTAACTTGGAACACATCTTGGTGTCATTACTCTCACTGTGGGTTGCATTGGTGGTGTTAGACTAAAATTAACTTGCTGGGATTCTAATAACATCTCAATGGGATTACAAATATAACCTTTTGCATTGTGAGGAAAACTAGAAAGAGGATTACAATACTTGGATGACTGTACACAGTATTTGGGATTACCATACAAATAGCCAGGACTACAGTTATATGTCATCTCACCCAGTTTGGGCTGGGTGTGGTGGTGCCTACCCATAATCCCAGCACTTGGGTGGCTGAGACAGAAGGGTCATTGTGAGTTCAAGGCCATTTTGGACTACACAGAGAGACTCTGTTTCAAAAAAAAAAAAAAAATCATACTAAATATAAGTAGAAATGCCAAGTAGCCAGTTGGCTATCCAAATCTGGAGCCCAGGACAGGAGTCACAGCTAGAGATATTTTTATGTCATCAGCATTCACGTAGCACCCAAAGCCATAGGCTGCATGAGTGTTAAGTGTGCTTCCCTTCCATACATGTGACAGAGTCGGTAGCCCCTGACTGGGGATTGGAGGGAGGGCTTCCAAAGCTGTACTGTTGGCCTTTATAAACTTGAGAGCCAGTGGCGCAGAGGACAAACCTGGCCCAGAAACAACTTATAGAGAAATGATGCCAGATGGGGCTGGGGATTTAGCTCAGCGGCATAAGCACCTGCCTTGCAAGCAGGCAATTGTGAGTTCGATCCCCGGTACCGATAAAACGGAAAAAGACAAAAAAAGAAATGATGCCAGAGAAACTAAGACTTCACAGAAGGCTAAAGGACTTCCCTCTACCCACCCTTCACTTTCTAAAATTGTTAGTAAACCTAATTCAGAAAGAGGAAGAGAAAAAGAACATTATTGAAGACACTTACTCTATGGCACCAGCAATAACAGCCCCCTGCCCCACCAATGCTGTGGGGCTAACTGTGGAGTTAATGTGGCTGTTCATGCTCTTCACCCCATCCTCCCTGCACCCACAAAAGTCAGAACTGGTACAGAAGCCACCTGTGGTTCACACACCTGGAAAGAGACCTGAGTTTCCATGAAAAGCCCATACCCTCTGTTCTACACTAACATGAGAGGACAGGAACATGCAGAAGAGCCGCAGCCAGATATTCCTGGTCCTGAGCAAGGCAGGCGGAAGTACCGAGGAAAAGTGCATTCCAAAGTTGAATGTGTCGTGGAATCATCTGGACTGTTTAATTAGGCCTGGGGTAGGGACTAGGATTCTGCCCGCCTAACAGCTCCCTTACTTGCTTTCTTTCATTTGTTTGCTATTTTTTTTTTTTTTTTTTTTTTTTTTTTTTTTTTTTTTTTTTTGGTGCTTTAAGACAGAGTCTCACTATGTAGTCCAGGCTGGACTTGTACTCTTGAGCCTCCTGGCTCAACCTCTTAAATGCAGGGAATACAGACCTGGCACCACAGCCAGCTGGAATTCGGCATTTCACTGTTCTCTGTTGCTGCTGTCTACAGACACTTTTACAGGATCAACTAGGGGCCACTGTGGAGGCCACCCACAATGGCCGGGCATGTGCTTATGCACAAAGTCCAAGAACATCTGACAGTAGCAATGCCCACTACTGGCCATGGTTGTGAGGCAGTCGTTTCTTGGCAGATTACACCTTCTAGGAGCATAGTAAGCCCGTTAAGTACTTGAGTTTGAAGGTTGACCTCCAGAGCTTTCCCTTTAAGAGGTATGTGATCTTGGGCAAATCTTTAACTTCTCTGCACCTCAGTTTTTGCATATTTTTTAGGTGTTTTTGCATTTTTATAATGGAAATAATAAGGCTATTTTGAGGAATGAGTCATAGGTACAGAGTGTTTATTTAATACATGGTAGCTCAGTAAATGTTGCCTTTCTTAGTGACAGCTATAATAGTTAACACAGACACACACTCACTTTTTTTCTTCTAGTGCACAAATATATATTCTCCCATCTCCCTCCCACCAAAGGGTTGATGTCTTCTCTTTCAAATTTCTCGTACCCTCCAGCCCACTCCCCCTCCCCTGGGGCCTGGCCCCAGTGTGGTCGGATGGGCCCCAGAGGGGCAGGGACAGGGACAGGACGTGGGGTTGTATCTGACAGGAACCTGAGGGGCTGGCCCGGGAGGGGATTGGGGCCCGGCTTCCTGAAGGGAGGATGGGCTAGGGCAGGCACAGTGCCGGAGAAGATGCCCTCTTGGGCCCTCTTTGTGGTCCCCTCCTGCCTCCTTCTGGCCCCCCAAAACCTGGCACAAGTCACCAGCCAAGGTGAGGTGTATAGAGGGTGGAGATCACCTATGCCCAGGAAGAGGGAGCTTTTGGAAGGGATGCAGGTCCCTGGGAGGGGATGCAGGGTAGCAGACTTCCATGCTCCCCTACACTTGCCCATAAACATACCTGGAAGGACCCAGAACCCAACTCACCAGCTGTTCCTCAGATGTTTCCTTGCTGACCTCGGATTCAAAGCCCCTGAACTGTTTCTCCCAAACATTTGAGGACCTCACTTGCTTCTGGGATGAGGAAGAGGCAGCACCCAGTGGGACATATCAGCTGCTGTATGCCTACTCAGGGTAGGTGCTGGGCTGCGCCACACTCCCTGTATATCTGTCCCTGCACTTCATTCAGCTGAGTCCAACTCTGTTAGATTCCCTGTCTTTGGCCCTATCAGAGGGTTATTTCAAGTCTACGCCCTAAATAGTTGCTTTATGAACAGCCAACCCCAAGCCTTTATATAAAACACATTCTCTCCAAAGAATAGAGGGAATGGAAACAGAAGTTGGGGACAGGCTAAATCCAGGGTCTTCAGAGTTGAATATGGTATCTGTGTAGGCAGAATGTCTCCTGTATCAACAGAGAGAAGCCTCGTGCCTGTCCTCTGAGTTCCCAGAGCGTGCCCCCCTCTGGAACCCGATACATGTGCCAGTTTCCAGCCCAGGATGAAGTGCGCCTTTTCTCTAAGCTGCACTTTTGGGTGAAGGATGTGTTCCTGAACCGGACTCTGACTGAGTGGGTACTGTCTGTGGATACTGTGGGTAAGGACATCTCTGTCACCCTACTCCCTCCATTTGAGGTCTGCTGTCCAGTTTGTGGAATGAGACTTGTCTGCAGTCTTTCAAGAAAACATGAGTGTCCTCATTATTAGACCCCCCGGGAGGCATCTCAAGACCCCCTTTATCATCTCTCCCAGACTCCCATCCAAAGCTAGAATTATCCCACAAATCATTTCACACAAGGGACATCCTAGTCTTCCCATTATTACCATATTCTTTTACTCATCTATTACACAGTTACAAATTACCTACTGTGTGCCAGGCACTATGACAGGTGACGAGAATAAAGAAATGAAAAGAAGTCCCTGTTTGTCTTTTTTTTTACTTTTTGGTATCGGGGATTCAAGACCTCACACTTGCCAGGCAGGCACTTATGCCACTGAGCTAAATCCCCTTGACATCCCTGCTTTTAAGAGCACAGAATCTAACAAACCATTGTCACTGTTCTCATGAGGAAAGAACAGGATACAAAGCCTTCCTACTCTGCCCCACCTCCACTCTGCCCCAGTTCAGTCTCCAGCATCCTCAGTAATCTACAGGTCGAATCAAGCAGTCTGAGTTTTGATGTGCCTTGTCTTGCCCTCAGGCCTGCCAGCTCCCCCCAGTGTCATCAGGGCCACGGGTGGGAGCCAGCCAGGGGAACTTCAGCTACGTTGGGAGGCTCCGGCTCCTGAAATTAGTGACTTCCTGAGGCATGAACTCCGCTATGGCCCTGTGGATCCCAAGAACACCACCGACCCCAGAGTCATGCGGCTGCTCCCCACAGAGACCTGCTGCCCCACTCTAAGGAGGCCAAACCCAGCTCCTGCTTTGGACCAGCCTCCATGTGTTCAACCCACAGCACCCCAACAGCACGGGCCAAGGCAGACTTCCCCAACCAGAGAAGTATTCTAACATTGTTCTGCTCTACCTCCTATTCCTTACCCTCAATTTTTTTCTGTACTTTGGAGATTCCAGGTGGGATTGGTCCTTACAGAATTAGGACAGCCTTGGAGCCTGCCCTCAGGAGCCATCTCTGTTTAACGGTCTCTCACTTTGGGTCATTTGCACTGACAAAATCGAGGGCTTACACACCTGCCTAGCAAGCGCAAGGTCTTGAGATTAATTCCTGGTACAAAAAAAAATTGAGGGCTTCAGGCCTCCAAATAGATGGAGACCTTCCTAAAAATCCCTGAACACCACTTAATACACACTGACCTAGTCCTCAATCTGTGTGTGTATTAAGTAAGGAACTGACCTTTGCACAGAGGTGCTATAAGACTCCAACTATAAAGAGGTAGAGGTTGTCTTGGCTAGAAGGTGGTCTAGATTCCAATGCTGGGACTTTTTTCCCCAAGGTTCCATCTCTGCCTGTGATGGGTGGAAGCTGCCTCATTTCCGGACTCCTGCCTGGCAATTCTTACTGGCTCCAGCTGCGCAGCCAACCTGATGGAATCTCTTTCAGTGGTTCCTGGGGGCCCTGGTCCCTCCCTGTAACTGTAGCCCTGCCTAGGGATGCAGGTGAGTCAATGAAGGGACTGGAGAAGTAGAGAAGAGATTTTAAAAGATGTCTAATCGGGCTTAGGCTGGAAGTGGAGGCTTTGGGAACCATGGTGCTTCCTGATCATCTCCAAGTTGCTTCCTGATCATCTCCAAGTTGCTTCTTGATCATCTCCAAGTTGCCATTAAGTGGTATAAACTATGTTCAGGAAGGGAAGAAAGAAGAATTGTAAATGTTTTGTTGTGTGTATAAAAGTGTTGTGGATTCTCTGTAGTGTGGGAACAAATGGCCCTGATGGGACTGACTTCTTTACCTTAGTGGCAATTGGCCTGCAATGCTTTACCTTGGACCTGATGAATGTTACCTGTCAGTGGCAGCAACAGAACCATACTCAATCCCAAGGCTTCTTCTACCACAACAAGGCTCAGTGCTGCCCTGGAGACAGGTAAGCATTTAACTTTTGATTGGGTTTGATGTCAGGGAGAGAGGCATAAACCTGTAGAAAGAACGGAAAGATTGCTCTTAGTCCTCTTCACTCTTCCTTATTCCAAAACCAAACAGCCTCTAGGTTCTGTTACTTACTCTCACATCCTCCAATGACTCTTATCTTCTCAATCTCTCTCCATTCTTACTGGGAACACCTTGGTCCCTTACCTTGTCTCCTGCATCAGGGGAACAGCTTGCAGTCTCATTTAAACATGTTGAGAACCCCAGGTGATCTTTGTTAAACTCATACATCACATGATCTTTATGAAACTAACATTGTATGGCCTTCTCTTCCTGATGACCTACAATCTATTAAATTCATAAAATTTGGCCTGGCCTTCAAGAACTTCCACTGAAGGACAAACACCTCACTGAAACTTCATCCTCTCTGAAACCAATCTATTACCCAGTTATGTTATTCTATTTATTAAATCTCCAGAATCTGTTTATCTATCACTGCCTCTACTGTGATATATCTCATTGACATCTTTCACTTAGACAACTGAAAAGATTAACTGATCACCTCTAAAATATTCTCCTGAATAGAAGATGGCAAGATCTTTCTAAAATGTATGAATAAATATACTTCCTGTTTTTAAATCTTTTACGGTTTCCCAGTGGCCTTAGAAAAAGAAAAGAAGTCTAGGGCCAAAGATTTAGTTCAGTGGTATAAGTGCCTGCCTAGCAAGCACGAGGTTGTGAGTTTGATCGCCTGTACTAAAAAGAAAAGAAGTTTAGGCCAGGCATGGTGGCGCATGCCTGTAGTCTCAGTACTCAGGAGGGTGAGGCAGGAGGATTGCTGTGAGTTTGAGGCCAGCCTGGGCTACATAAGCACGTTCAAGGCCAGTCTATACTTACATAGTAAGACCCTTTTCTCAAAAAAAAAAAAGAAAAGAAAAGAAGAAAAAGTATATCATGACCTAATACAGTTTCCAGCTACCTATGCTTTCACCTTTAGTGCTCCTATTATGCTTCCCCTTGATCTTTTGGTTTCAGCACTGGCCTTCTGTGACTGCCTTGTATCTTCCATATTTCCTCCTGCTTTGGGTCTTGGCATGTGCTATTTATCCAACTTACTATTTATTCCAGCTTACTTAACATCTACTTATCCTTCAGAGCTCAGGAAACTCTTCATTAGATCCATTAGTGTAATTAGACCTTTTTGTCATGCTACAGGAAAAATATAACTCCCAACCTGCTAGATGTCAGATGTGCCAAGTTCATGATCTGACAGTGCTGAAGAATGAAGTCGCAACCAAAGGAGGAAGTTAGGAGATATTTTATTGGAAATAAGGGGAAGAAGAATAGCTCCTGGATTTCCAAAAGGGTGCCCATTCAGGGCCTTTGTCAGGAGTTAAAAAAAAAAAAGCACAATAATGATATGATTTGGGTCAAACTACACCCAACCAATAAGATTACAAATATAGTTGCTTAGCTAATATTGAGCCATTAGGAAAGCATCATATGTAGCAAAGATATATGCCTAACATCATTAACTTTAACTTATCTATAACTTCTAACACAGAAAGAGCAAGAGCATTTGGGGGAAGATGCTCTGGTCACTTACCTAGAAGTGTGATGCTCATTTGGACTTATTGGATTGGTGGTGCTAATTACAGTATAATCTCAAGTTGCTATTTATCCTTAGAAAAGCATTCAAGCCTAGTTACTGCATTTTGAGATCTGTTCTCATTCATATGTGCCTCTAGCTACAATTCTGATTTCTTTATGTTTTTGTGTTGATTTCCTTGAGGGCCTGATCCTTCTCTGACTGTTATTTTAATCTTTATCTAATTTAGCTGTCTGTAGTAATTGTACCATGTACTTTTCCTCAAGTATTTATCACAATTACATTTAACATTTAGACATTAAGGCAAGGAATAGTGGCATACACCTGTAAGCCCAGCACTCAGAAAGTTGAGGCAGGAGGACTGGTTCGTATGAAGTCAGCCTGGGCTACATAGTTTGTGGCCAACCTGAACTATGTGGCAAGAGCTTGTCTCAAAATAAATAAATAAATAAATTAAATTAAATTAATGCTTTATATGATTATTTCCAGGAGTTCTTCAAGCCCAGCATGGACAACTTATTAACTTAGCAAGACTGTGTCTCAAAATAAAATTTAAAAATATTTTTTTTTATTTTATTTATTTATTTATTTTTTGTCTTTTTCCTTTTTATCGGTACCGGGGATCAAACTCACGACTGCCTGCTTGCAAGGCAGGCGCTTATGCCGCTGAGCTAAATCCCCAGCCCCTAAAATTTTTTTTTTTTTTAAGACTAGTCAAGTGCAGTAGTGAGAAGGGAGGAAAGAGTAGAACAAGGAGTTCAATCTGTACTGACTGTGAACAATCAATTGAGGTAACTCACTACCTTCGGACCAGCCTAAAAAATTTTTTTTAATTTATAAAGTGCTGACGTTATAGTTCAATACAAAGGTTCAATCCCCAGTACCAAAAAAGAAAAAAAAATTCTCTTTGGAACTCTAGTAGAGAAATATTAATCATAACTATATATACAACCCATGAAGGCAAAAATCAATATTGTTTTTTATTCATCAATATATTCCCCCTGTGATGGTCCCTGGAACACAGTTAATGCTGAGTTAAAAAAAATAAAACAAAACAAAAAACGCTTAATGACCCAGAATTGGTGGCTCATATTTATAACCCCAGCTACTTGGGAAGCTAAGCAGGAGGACTGCCAGTTTGAGGCTAGCCTTTGCAACTTAGTGAGACCCTGTCTCAAAACAAAAATAAAAAAGGATACAGCTTGTAGATCAGTAGTAGAATTTCCTGGAGGTCTATCCCTAGTATTGAAAAAAAATGAATAAGTAATTTTAAAAAGCTACTTTTAACAGTTTTAATGTATTTTTATTTCTTCTTACATATTTGCATATGTCTACATATAATTCTTAATTTTAAAATATGAGTTGATATTACATATAAATGGGTTTGGGGGTTTTTTGTATTTATTTTTGTAGTACTAGAGATCAAACCCTCACATGTTAGGAAAGCATCTGCTGAGCCTTCTAGCCCTCTATGGTTTAACTTATCCTTTAAAATAAATATCTTGGAGCTCACTACAAAAAAAAAGTAATTCATTTCCTTTTAATAATTACACAGTTCTGCATAGTATAGAAGTGGCATGCAGGGAGTAAAGGGTAAAAAAAGCTAAAATCATCATTTCCTCTACCAAAACTACTTCTTCTTGATTCTTTTCCATCTTAACCAAGAACTGTTTTGCATAACTGAAACATAAATTGCCCTCGGGTTCTCCCATTCTGATAAAAATTAGTCTTGTCTCTTCCACCTCATAATAGCCCATAATCATCTCTTTTTTTTTTTTTTTAATATTTTTTTTTGTCTTTTTCCTTTTTTTATCGGTCCCAGGGATCGAACTCACGACTGCTTGCTTACAAGGCAGGCGCTTATGCCACTGAGCTAAATCCCCAGCCCCCTCATAATCATCTCTTCCCTCTGTCTCCACTGCCACCCTCTATTTTCAGACCTTGCATGTGAAAAACTATAATGGTGTCCTAGTGGGTTCCTCTGCTTTGACTCTCTCCTCACAAATTCTCTCTACAAACTGCAGTTAGAGTGATCTTCCACAAGTACAAAGGTAACAATGACACTTCCCAATCTCTGTAGTCTCCATAATTGCCCCAATAGTTCAAACTCTTTAAAAAGGCCATAAAGCCATCCATAATGGAGTCTGCCATCTCACATTCACCATTTACCAACAGCCTTCTATCCTAGAACCATTCTGCACACTTAGAAGTTCCCCCAAAGCACCACATGCGCTTATCTGTGCACAAACATGTGCCTGGAATGCCCAATTGTTCTCTCTGGGTAGGCTATTTATAGTAAAGCCTCAGTCTAAACACTGCCCTAGCCAGGAAGCACTCCCTGACCCTCCCAGTCTGTGCTAGATGACTCCTCCCTGGTCCTCCCAAGCTAGGCTGAGCACATCACAGAACAAATAACATCTGTTTTCCTGTCTCTCCTGTTGAATTGAGAATTCCTTAAAGATTATTCCTCTATATTCTCAAAAGGCCTAGTACAATCCCCAACACATGAGTATCAGTTGTGAAATAAGTGAGTAAATATATATGTACATAATGTGATAAGTAATTTTAGTAATGGTAAGTTGCTTGAGAATTATAATCTGGAAGGAGAAAGAACTAGTATTTAGCCGTGTGTGGTGGCTCACCCCTGTAATCCCAGCACTTGGGAGGCTGAGGTAGGAGGATCGCTGCGAGTTCGGGACCAGCCTGGGCAGCACAGTGAGCTCAAGGCCAGCCTGAACTGCATAGCGAGACCCTGTCTCAAAAAGACAAAAAAAAAAAAAAAAAAAAAAGAACTAGTATTTAGGTCACTGGGGCACTGGGGCTAGAATGACAAAGTAGAAAATATTCTAGAGCTCAAACTGTAGCTCAATGGTGGAGTGCTTACCTAGCATGTGAAAGACCTTGAGTCAATTCCAGTACTGCAAGGAAAAGAGGGGAAGGATCCTCATTGTTGAGGCTTACATTTAATGAGGGTGAGAGGAGAAACAAGTAAAGAAACAAAGGAACAAGATTACATGATAAAACTGGAAGCGGGAACTGCTAACAGACTGGGCGCCCAGGAAAAGTCTTACCAGGGAGTAACAGTTGAGCTGAGATCTAAACAACAAGAAGGAATGAGTCATGTTAAGACCTCGGGTCAGAGCTTCTCACGGCAAAGGCAAAATACAAACACCACACAGGTAGCGTATTTGTGGCACAGAAATAAGGACCATATGGATAAAGGGTGATTAACTGGCACGCAAATCACAAGAGATAAGAATGGCAAAGTAAACAGGAACCAGATCACATAAAGTCCTGTATGGACTGGTGTGGAGCTTAGAGCAGTTGAAGGATTTTTTACACAGAAGAGTGGCAAGAATTACATTTGTAAAAGGTGTATTTCTCTGTGAAATCAGAAAAACAAGATCTCAAGCTAGAAATTTGCCTTAATTCAGGCAACAGATAAGGCTGGTTTCACCTTATAGGGCAGTAAAGATAAAAATAAATACACTTGTGATGTACTCTGAACATTAACAGATCAATATTTTTAGAAGCAATTCTAGTAACTGTGGGAAGGACCAATTGAAGGCCAGATGACAATGATATAATCTTTAGATATGGGGAGGGAGTTCTGTACCAGAACAGATTAAAACACATAAAGATGTTTCCCTCCAGAAAGATGAAGTCTCTTTAATCTTTGAAGCAATTCTTTGAGGTAGCTATCAACCCATTTTACAAACTAGAGCAGAGATTTTAAAAATCGCTTAAATTATATATTTGTAGGCCAGAATCTGAACTCTACAGGTCATGCTATTTTCACATATCATCCTACCTCTTTCCTCAAGGAGAAGAAACTGGACCTCATGGCACAAACACAGAGGGAGACTCTTGGAATTACATGCAAGGGGAGGGTTAGACACGGGCCAGTAATAGCTGGTGTGCCACTGAGAGGATAGGAATTAGTCTTGAGACAGGTCTGATCTGACGACTTTATGATTTTTAGGGACCTCATCTGGGAGAAGTGTGAAGAGAAGAAGAAAACAAATCTAGAATTACAGCTCCCTCAGCTCTCCCGCTGCCATTTCAAGTCACGAAATGATAGTGTTATTCATACCCTTGTAGAAGTGACCACAGCCCAGGGTGTTATTCACAGTTACCTGGGCTCCCCTTTCTGGATGCACCAGGCTGGTAAGAACTTTCTTCCCCATTCTTCCCATAATGTTCCTATGCCCAACAAATCTTCTGACCCAATCTATACCCATAATCCCCAACTCTGACACCTCTAATCTATGGTCTTGGTGGTATGCCTCATGCACATAAGGCTGAAACCAGCCCCTGCTGAAATCCCTGTAGTGCTCATTCCCACCCCGAACCTGCACTGGAAGGAGTTCTCCAGCGGGCAGCTGGCATTGGAGTGGCAGCACTCATCATCTTGGGCAGCCCAAGAGACCTGCTATCAACTCCGCTACATTGGAGAAGGCCATCAGGACTGGAAGGTATGGTCAAGCAACAAATAGCCTCAGGGTATATTCCTTTTTGTGCCAGAGAAACTGTGTTCATATTACCATACCAGGACTAATGTATCTATGTATCTGGGTTTCTTTTCCCCAGTACTGGGGCTCCTACCCAGAGCCTTTGCACTAAACTACATACCCAGCCATTTTCGTTTTGTTTTTTGTTTTTGTTTTCATTTTTTTCTTGGACAGGGTTGGACCAAGTGGCTATGCTGATGAGGCCAGGCCCTAATTTGTGACCCTTCTGCCTCAGTCTCCTAGGCTGCCAGGATTACACGTCTGCACCACCAAGTCTGGGTTATATACCTAGGTTTACCTGATTCCATGGGTATCTTCCTCTCTCTTGAGGATCTCACACTGCTAGCTACTACCACATAAGATTTTTCTCTTCCATTTGCTTTTGGAATATCAGTCTTCCCTGATATTCTTCCTGCCACTCCTCCTTTTCCACTCTTCCATAAGATGTTGTAATTCCTACAGTGTTATCTTAGACTCTTTTCCACAACCCCAATTTTACCACTCCTCCATACGTTAGGAATTTAAGAAATGCAGGCAGATTACCTTTAAAAAATTTTGTCTTTTTGAGACAAGGTCTTACTATGTAGTTCAGACTGGCCTTCAGCTCACTTTGTAGCCCAGGCTGGCCTTGAACTCACAACAATCCTCCTGCCTCAGCCTTCCCAGTGCTGGGATACAGGCATTTGCCACCATGCCCATCATAACTAAAATTTTGAAGTATCTGATTTCTCACTGGTGAAACAGGAATAAAGCTGTCTATCTTATAGAGTAAAAATCAAATACAATAAGTCCCCGACTTATAAACATAAATATTCAAATTGTGAACTTTCACAGATAAGAACAGACCTTGCATTATGGACATTCATAGATATGACCAAATTGCTACAGTAGCCCAGGGGTCTGCCAGGCATTGTCACAGTTGTGCTGCTGTGTGCTTACTGTACAGTGCATTAGTGTACAGCAGTACAGTGCTCAATCAGAGCCCAGGATGTCCAGAAGCAGGAGGAAAAGCAGTGGTGCTGTAGAGACAACTGCTAGGAAGCGTGAAGCAATATACACGGTATATTTGGTTAAAGTTGTATAAGACTCATTTTGTTGAACTTGTAAATAAATCTGACATATGAATGTTTTCCAGGAATAAAAACATAGCATAGCACTTGGTACATAGAAGGTACTCAATATACACTAGTTGAATATCAGCTTCTTTGTCTGTTTCTCTTTAACATAGATACCAGGCAGGCAGTTCTACCTAAACCTCCTCATTCCCAGACAGTTCGAACTCAGAGTATCCAAAACTAAAACTAAACTCATCTTTCTTTCTTTCTTTTTTTTTTTTTTTTTTTTTGGTCTTTTTGAGACAGGGTCTCGCTATGCAGTTCACGATGGCCTTGAGCTCACTTTGTAGCCCAGGCTGGTCTCGAACTTGCAATGATCCTCCGGCCTCAGCATCCCAAGTGCTGGGATTAAAGGCGTGAGCCACCATGCCCGGCTTAAACTCATCTTTCTAATGGAATGTATTTTGTTTTTACTGAGGTAAAACTTACATAAAGTGTACAAATCTTATACAACTAATTGTATATGTGGATATACCAATGGAATCATTATCAAGATCAAGATGTAAGAAATTTCCAACATCCCAGAAGTTCCTTGTGACCCTTATAGTTCACCCGGAAGGTAATCACTATCCTGACATTACAATTGGTTCGACTACAGTTAAACTTAATAAAATAGAACCACATGGCATTTATTCTTCAAGCTTACTTTTTCCTCTTTCTGCTAATGACACTACATTTAACCCATTATCTATGTCTTTTCTTTATCCTTTCCCCTATTTATAAACAAGCAATCTGAAGAGTGTACCAACACTCTTCAAATCCCTACTAGGGCTGCTTACCCTTCTTTTTGACCATCCAACCTTCCCATACATACTTTTAGTATACTAAAGTATGCTGTAACCCCCATGAAATAGCTCTGGCAGCCTTAAATATTTCTTTGTGCTGTGTACAAGTTAATTGTGATTCTTGACCGCTTTGAATGTCTCTCTCCCTCATTAAACATGTGAGACACTGTGTTTTATTCATCTTTTTCTCTGGTACTTAGCCTAATGTTTGGCATATCTCCAGTAATCATAAATGTCTGCTAAATGATTAACACACCCTGCATGCGCATATTATGTTCACACCCCTAGCGCCTAGCAAAAATCTGCCCTTCTGTGCTCAAGAGTAGCGCTTGTGGCACCGTCTGTGCAGCTTGAGCTCTGAGGGTAACTCAGGAGTGGTGGTGATAGCATCCTGCATGTCTTAGTCAGTGTGTCCGAGTACCGGGATCTTAGTCAAGGGGTCTGTGAAGGTGAGTCTGCGTGCCAGGGTTTGTCCCCCGGTGCGTCTTATAGGCAGGGCGAGACTAGGTCAGGGAGAGGCTCTAAGTAAAGCGGGAAGGCCCAGGCCTGTTCCCGCAGCCCAGTTCGCGGTGCCGTGCGACTCTGGAGAGCTCTCCGCATACCTTTCTTCTGCACAGGTGCTGGAACCGCCTCTTGGGGCCCGGGGAGGGAGCCTGGAGCTGCGCCCCCGATCTCGCTACCGCTTACAGCTGCGCGCCAGGCTCAACGGCCCCACCTACCAAGGCCCCTGGAGCGCTTGGTCAGAGCCCGTGAGCGTAGAGACTGCTTCGGAGCCAGGTGAGGAGCGGCTCAGCCGGGACTAGAAGGGGCCACAGCGGCACGAGGGGCGGGGCTCCGGCGAGGGGCGGGTCTGCGGCTGAGCGAGTGTGCGGACGCTGTGGGCACCTTAGGAGCCGAGGCGCGCCGCCCAAGTGGCAAGGGGCGGGGCCGGGGTGTACAGAGCTGGGCTATGTGGTAAGGGGCGGGGCCAGGGCATGGTCCGGCGCATTTGCGGGCGGGGCTGAGGGTCAACTGAGGTCTGAAGGTTTTTGTCCCTTAGCCTGGATCTCCTTGGTGACCATTCTGCTCCTGGTGCTGGGCCTCAGTGCCCTTCTTGGCCTGCTGCTGCTGAGATGGCAGTTTCCTGCGCACTACAGGTACCGCCCTAACCAGGAGGGAGACAAGGCAGAGTCAGAGGGCTGGATATCTCTAAAGACCACAAGTCTACGCCTGTGGCCTCAGCTTTCTGCATGTCTGTCGGAGTGGTACTGTCTACTTACACTCTAACTTGCCCCCCAGCATAAAGGGCTCCTTAAACAGCCCCACCTCCTCGGTATTAGCACCTCCCTCCCCTCCACCACGGGGGCCCTTAGGTCTGGTCATCCCTCCTCCTAAACCTAGGGTCCTAGTCCTACAAACACTACCCGATTCTCTGAGAAAGAGGCTCTTCTCCCTCCAACCTAACCTCACGCAGCCACCAGAACAATCTTCCTAAAATGTATACATAAGTACATCTTCCCCCTCCTTAAATCCCTTCAGCAACTCCCAGGAATTCAGTCCAAACTTTCACCTTCTCTACCCTGTGCATTAGCCTTGCCACACTTGATTTCCTCCACAAGTCACACCTGTTTCACTTCTCAGTGCCTTTGAACATAATATCTCCTCTGCCTGGAGTATACTTGGTTGGCTAATACCTGTTCATCTTTAAATAACTTTTTTCACCAACTCTTAGGAAATCTTTCCTGACCTTCCCTCACTGGCTGCTTTTCTGTGTCCTAGTACAGTACCATAGTGTTTTGCTGCATTTTATGTATTTATTTGTTTATTCAGGTTCTGGGGACTGAATCTAGGACGCTGTGCATACTAAGCACTCCCTCTACCACTGAACTACATCCCCAGTCCTGCATTTAGTTCTTCTGTCTTCTCATTATACCTTACTTGGTCACTTTTAAGTTCTTAGCACAGTGCCTGCCAAGTAGCAGGACCTTAAATAAATGTTAGTAATGAATGACTCATGTATGTGGGGGCTGAGGAGAAATGTCACTGAGAGTTATAAACATGAGTTATAAACATGCCGCCTCAGTTATTTAGTTGGTAATATCTGCTGATTCTTGAAGACTCACCTCAGAAGGCAGCTTCTCTGGACACTGACTTTTTGATGGCCTTAGACTGGGTCAGGTGCCCCTCTTGTGGGCTATTTCTCTTTGACCATGCTGTTCTCTTAACTTTTAATCTGCCTATGTGTAAGAGCAAAGTGGATCTGACAGAAAAGTTAAGAGAAGAGGGAGGAGGTGCTCTTGAACCAGGCATAATTTATTCATTTTCCCCAGCCAGGTAAGTCCCTCTTCTGCCCTTAGAGAGGGCAAGAGTGAAGTTGTGGAAAAGGATGGAAACCATCTCTAGAAAGCCAGTATAAGCTTTTCTGGCTTTCTTTTTGAACACCTAAGACAGGCTAGACACTGGAGATATAGGGGTGAAAAGGTATACAAACTGCTCTCAAGGAGCTTACACTCTAGTGGGGAGAGGCAGACAAAAACAAGTATATGTAACAATAAATATACAGTAAGTCAAGTGCTAATAACACAATGGAAAGGGTGATGTTATGATTTTAGGCATCATAATCAGAAAAGGTGACTCTGTCAGCTTAACATTTGAGCAGAAGCCAGGTGAGCTTCTGTGGTAATCCCAGCACTCGGGAGGCTGAAGCAGGAGGATTATGGCAAGTTCGAAACCAGCCTAGGCTGCAAAGTGAGCTCAAGGCCAGCCTGAACTACATAGCGAGACCCTGTCTCAAAAAGAAAAAAAAAAAAAAAAAAAAAAATTGAGCAGAGCCCTAAATGGAGTGAGCGAATGAACTCCGTTCCATGCAGAAAGAACAACAAATGTAAAGGCCCTGATATAGGAATGTTTGAGGAAGTTCTGCACTGCCCTTTGAGAAGCTACCCACCACTGACTTTCCTCTTCCCCAAGGTTTTCTTCTCACCTCTACCTTACTTTGCAGCCTGAACTATGCTCCATCCCTCAAGACTCACTCCTCAGCCTGCCTCCAGCACAGCCCCACTGCAGTCATCTCTCTCTCCGGGCTCATGCCTATGACTCAGTCTTTTTCTCATGCTTGTCCCCTAGGAGGCTGAGGCATGCCTTGTGGCCTTCACTTCCAGACCTGCACCGGGTCCTTGACCAGTACCTTAGAGATACTGCAGACCTGAGTATGGTGAGTGGGCTGTCTCTCTCCGTGCTCTGTCACCAATGCTTTGTTTCCCCCAGTGCAGCTTGTTCAAGGTCATGGCTTAGTACTGCACCATCCCCAGTCACTGCCCCCAGCCCAACTTTCTTTACTACACAGTCAGATCTAATCCAGCTCCTTTCACCATCTCCCCAGCCTAAGGCCACAGTCACAGATACCTATGACGAAGTGGAACCCAGCTTCCTGGAGATCCTCCCTAAACACTCCGAGAGGATTCCCTTGCCACTGTGTCCTTCCCAGGCCCAGACAGACTATCGAGGACTGCAGCCTTCCTTCCAAGGGGCCTCGCCCCTGTCTGTATGCCCACCAGTGGCTGAGCCAGGGTCCTGCCATACTACACACATTGCCAACCATTCATACCTACCATTAAGTTGTTGGCAGCAGCCCTGAAGACAAGTCTCTCCTCCCAGGACCTGGATACACCTAGACTTCTCCATAAACTGCCCTTAACCTATCCCAACACTGACACCTCAGCCTTCACCTCCAACCCCCATCTTCCAGCCTGGTTGGGCTTCTCAGCACAGATCTTTCCATACTGCTGTTGACCAGCCCAGGACTCTGGCCCTTTAACTAAGGCCCTCTGACTTTACCCCTCTCTCTCTCCTCTTCAAAGCCAAACTCTCATGAAAAGAAGTCCCTGCTTTCCTACTGATTCTTTAGACTTCAGTTCGTTCCACTATTTCCACTTTGCTAATGAAGCTGCCCAGGCAAATTTCCTTTCAAATCCTCTCAAGGCAAGTTTCATTAAGGTCGCGTTAATCATCAGTTTATTTGATCTCTCTGTGGCTTTTGTTGTGGTTGATTCCTCATTTCTCTTTTAAATTCTCTTCCACTTTGGCTTCCACAGTGTCAACTTCTTTCCTAGTTCTACACCTGTCTGAATATACTGGAAGTTAAAAGAATGTGGAGTCAGTTTTGGGTTCAATTCCTGTCTTTTATCCTTGCAAATAACTGCATTTCCATCTCCAACCCCATCTTTTCTCCTTGTCTTTACTATATGTTGGCCAATCCAAAATTCTTAACTGCAGCTCAGACTTGACTACAGCACCTATGATGTTTTATGCAAGTAACGTTTTACATGTCTGCCTCCTGCTACTAGATTGTGAGCTCCTTGAGGGAAAGGGTCATGACTTATTTGTCCTTTTTTTCTAGCACTTAGAATAATGATGGTGAAATTTTCAGAGCTTTCAATAATACAAACAACCTGCTGTGACATGCATGCCATAGGTTCACCACCACTGACCTAGAACATTGTTTGGTGTATGATAGCAGGCCTCTAATAAATGAATGAAGTCTTTCTGGAAAATATTACTTTAACCCCCTGCTAACTTCCTTCATCCTCTAAGCCATTCATGTGCAGCAACAGATGTGCTTAAATCACTCTAGTTATTAATTCTCCTCACCCATTCAAATTTTTAGGCAAATACTTTTGATTTTTGCTTGCTCCAAATATACCCATTATATTAAAGTCTGAGCAAAAATACATGACACTCAAACTGGGTAATTTGGTGAGACTTTAATAAAGAACATATTAACAAAGGTGAGGGCAAAATTTGGGAAAACCATCAAGGAACAATGCAGTACCCCAACACTAACACCACTAAGGAGCTGGCACCAATCCTAGATATCAACAGGCTAAAGAGGGAATCAGGGGAGAAAATCCTATAAGAGAAAGCTGCCATCCAGGCTTGGTGGCACATGCCTGTAATCCCAGCACTTGGGAGGCTAAGGCTGGAGAATCACTGGGTTTGAGGCCAGCCTGAGCTACACAGTGAGACTGTCTCAAACAAAGCAAGACAAAACAACAACAAAAAAACAAAACAAAACAAAAAAAAACAGAACAAAACAAAATGAGAGCTGCCTCGCAGGAATTGTGGTCTTCAGTAGGGAGATGCAGCTAACTTCGGGTAGTAGCAGAGAACACAGAAATAAACAGCTCAAGCTTATTCTCCCATCCTAGCTTTTGGTACCTAAGAGAAAAGTCAGAGCTTTTCATGTGACGAGGGAAATGGGGAGTATGGATGTTGTATGTCATCCATTTGCCCTGTTCATCTTCTGCCTTCTCTGTATTCTGCAAGGGTGATTCAGATGGCCTATATCAGTAATTTCCCTGGGCTCTGGTTTCTCTTTAGGTTCCACCAATGGAAGGATATTATGGGCTCAATTGTGTAACACCCCCAAAATTCAGACATTGAAGTCTTAACCTCTTGTATCTCAAATGTATCCTTATTTGGAAACAGGGTCACTGCATATTTAGTTAAGATGAGGTCATGAGCCCTAATCCAATATGATTGATATTCTTACAAAAAAGGAAATTTGTAAACTGGGCATGCTGACATATACATGTAATCTCAACACTCAGGAGACTGAGGCAGGAAGGTTGCTACAAAGTCAAGGCCAACCTGGACTACATAGAGACCCTCCCCCCCCCCCAAAAAAAAAAAAGGAAAAAGGAAAATCTAGGAGAAAGAGAAGGTTGCAAGAAGGTCAAGTGAAGGTAAAGGTACAAATCAGGGCAATACATCTATACACCAAGGAACACCAAAGATTGCCAACAAACTAGCAGAAGCCAGAGGAGAGGCATGGAACAGATTTTTCTCTCACCCTAAGAAGAAACCAACCCTGCACTTCTTGCCTCCAGAATTGTAAGACAATACATTTTTGTCATTTAAGCCATTCGCTTCGTGGTATTTTGTTATAGTAGGCCTCACAAACTACTACAGGTGATCAGAGGCAAGTTTACACAAGTAGTTTATGCTTGTGGACATCCCATTCTCTCTAAACTACTCTTTCTGTAGCCCTTTTTAAATGGATTATTAGCACCTGCTTTCCTGATCCTGCTGTCTCCAAAGTCACCAAGAATTGTTTCCCAGGGGCCAAATCTGACCTTTTCTGTCATCTTTCCACTTGACCATTCTATACCATATTACAGTTATTTTTAAGGTCCATGTCTGTATGATCTCCATTGACTTCCTTCATTCCTTTACTTTTATAATGTACAGATGCCCTGAGGTTGTACCTATATCCTTCTCCTCTACAGTTACTTTTAGTCCTGAAGTAGCAAAGTGCTGGTCACACTGCCTCCTCTGATGTTTTGTTTGGCTCTTCCCTACACAGAACCTCCCCAATGGTCCTACAACACCTGGCAGATAATCCAAACTCTCAAACCAGGCATGGGTGGTACACACCTGTAATTTCAACTATTTGGGAGGCTGAGGTAGAATCTCAAATTCAAGGCCAGCCTAAAGCAAATTGGCAAGAACCTATCTTAAAATAGACACATAGAAGATAAGTAGATGATAAATAAAAGACAGACAGGTAGATAGATATGGTAGAGTACCCTCTAGGTTTAACCTTTCATACAAAAAAGAAAAAAAAATACAAAATCCTTAGGTAAACATTTAAGACTGATACTAGACAACTTTTTCTAAGCCTTCTAGAGCTTAGAAGTTCCCCAGTTATAACACTTGGACCCCAAGCCCCTTGTCTTAGTTACTTTACTTGTTGCGGAGACACAATACCTGACAGCTGCAAATTAAAGGACGAAAGGTTTATTTTGGCTCACACTTTGTAGAGGTTTCAGTCCATAGTTGGCTGGCTCCAAGGCAGGGTGGCAAGGCAGAAGGGCATTGCAAATGAGGGTACACATGGCAAGGGAATCAGAAAGCAGAGAGGGATCAAGGAAAAAGAGATCCTTCCAGGTCACCCTCAGTACCCTCAGTAACCCACCTCCTCTGACCAGACTTCACCTGCCAACATCTCATTGAGCTATAAATGCATCAGTACACTAATCCACTGATGAGCACCACACGCCCATAATCCAATCACCTCGCAAGAGCCCCACCCATGAGTGCACGAGGCTTTTAACATCTAACATAAATCATAACACTTGTTTTCCAAGGTAACTGTAGACACAGGCATGAAAGCTCAAGAATCACAAAAACCGATACTAAGTTTGGATTTACAGGGACAGATTTTTCTGTCATCCTCAGCGTCGACATGAGGCTGACTGAACGTCAGCTTTTCCCAAATTGTCTCCTAAACAGTATTGCATATTATTGGCGTCACAAAAGATAGTCAGATATTTAAATAATGGCTCCACTACTTGTTATTGGCTGTATTATGCTTTTGTTTAAGTTTCTAACCTCATCCTGACCCACTTTTTGTATACAGTATAATAAGGATATAGCCAGGCATAGTGGCACACACCTGTAATCCCAGTAATTGGGAGGCTGAAGCAGGAAGATCACCAGAGTTCAAGGCCAGCCTGGGCTACATGGTGAGTTCAAGCCAGACACTATCTAAAACACACACACACACACACACACACACACAAGCCCCAAGAGAGTAAACCACTGTGTTTCCTATAGGGCATTCCAACCTTATCTCCCCATAGAGGCAAATCTGAATCCTCATTCTTTTTCTAAACCTGAAAGGAGCCCCACCAACCTATATTTTTCCAGTTTGGGAAACAGCGAGAAGCAAAACAAACACACGTGTTACTTCCTTCCCAGCAGAGCTCTGACCAGCGGACCCGCTTAGACCGCTGCGGCCTCTCCCAGCTGTTCAGTGTATCCGCACGTCCGTCTCCCACTGCAGCCCGCCGCCCGCCCCTTCTCTGTCCGGTTCAAATACTTTGAGTCAGTGAGTTCTGCGCGTTTCTATTACCCAGGATTAACAGCCGGCGCCCGACTCAGCGAGCTCGCGGAAGATGAGTCACAGCAAGGTTAGCGACCCCCGGGAGTCACACACACAGCGCAGGCCCCACCCCTAGAGCTTCCACATTCCAACTGCCGAATGGATTTCTACTCACCACCCTGCGCGGCGCTCTCGTGAGATCCGTGACTTGCCCCGGAAGACCCGCCCCCTCTGCGGCATAAGGCCAATCAGCGAGGGCTACCGTTGCGACGGTTGGGTTTTGAAGGAACCAATGAGAGCTCAGAGCGGACAGTTTAAGTTCCAGGCTTGTCATGCTGAAGCCGGTCGTGATTGAAACTTGCTTGGGATCCTAAATTGAGGAACAGCTGTGCTGAGCCCGGAGGTCCTTCGGGGGCTTGGGTGCTGCAGCCGAGGGGCCTCTTGATTTTGAGCCCATTCTCGAAAGAGCTCTGTGCCCTCCCCGAGCACGGTGGTCATCCTTCTAGGGCTCAGGGGGCAGCAACTCCAAGGACCTCGTCTTCCCTCCAGACGTTTTCATGGCGCAGTTCGTGTTTGAGAGTGACCTGCATTCCCTCCTTCAGCTGGATGCGCCCATCCCCAATGCACCCATCGCGCGCTGGCAGCGCAAAGCCAAGGAGGCTCCGGGGCCAGGACCCTCCCCTATGCGGGCCGCCAACAGGTCCCACAGCGCGGGCAGGACCCCAGGCCGAACTCCGGGTGAGTGAAGGGAGGCGGAACGGGGGAAAGGGTAAGACGAGAGTAGCCTTCGTGCCTCCTCCCTCGGTAATTTGCTCAGACTTTCTTTTCTCTCCTTGCCCCAGGCAAATCTAATTCCAAGGTTCAAACCACCCCTAGCAAACCTGGAGGTGACCGATATATCCCCCATCGCAGTGCTTCCCAGATGGAGGTGGCCAGCTTCCTCCTGAGCAAGGAGAATCAGCCCGAAAACAGCCAGACACCCACCAAAAAGGTACGTTCACCAGAGGGGCAAAAAGCCCCTCTGGTGAGACCCGTGTGTGTTTGAGTATCAGCTTGCTCACTATAATCTGTGTATGACAGGAGCATCAGAAAGCCTGGGCTTTGAACCTGAATGGTTTTGATGTGGAGGAAGCCAAGATCCTTCGACTCAGCGGAAAACCACAGAATGCCCCAGAAGGTAAGACCTAGTTATTGGAGTTTTGTGTCAGTCCATCTTCAGGGGCTGAGGGAGATGCCTGTCTGTTCTTCCCACTCGAGACTGAGGGCAAAAGAGGTGTCAATTTTGCTAGGATCTAGACCCATTCCACTTTGCAGGCTACCAGAACAGACTGAAAGTACTCTACAGCCAGAAGGCCACACCTGGCTCCAGTCGCAAGACCTGCCGTTACATTCCTTCCCTACCAGATCGGATCCTGGATGCCCCTGAAATCCGAAATGACTACTGTAAGTGCTGTTTTATCCTTGCCCATGGTTGGTGAAAGAGGGGCTCAGGACCAGGCAAACAAAAAAGCTCATGCTTTTCTCTTTCTGCACAGACCTGAACCTTGTGGATTGGAGCTCTGGGAATGTACTAGCTGTGGCCCTAGACAACAGTGTGTACTTGTGGAGTGCAAGTTCTGGTGACATCCTGCAACTGTTGCAAATGGAGCAGCCTGGAGACTATGTATCCTCTGTGGCCTGGATCAAAGAGGGCAACTACTTGGCTGTGGGCACCAGCAGTGCAGAGGTGCAGGTAAGGCTGGCCCCAGACTGCAATTCTACTGACACCAGACCCAGGGGTATTGCCTGGCTTGAGGATGTTAATGCGAAGGCCCAATCTCTAATGCTAGGGATCTCTCTCCAGCTATGGGATGTTCAACAGCAGAAACGGCTCCGAAACATGACCAGTCACTCTGCAAGAGTGAGCTCTCTAAGTTGGAACAGCTATATCCTGTCCAGGTCAGTGAGATGAGTCTAATTTCTGTATACCTCTGTCCCTGAGTATACATCCCTAAAGTGAAGCAGCTCTGACTTGCTTAAATATTTGGTGCTGCCACAGAAGGAAATCTTTTCTTCCCTCCTCCAGTGGCTCACGCTCCGGCCATATCCACCACCATGATGTCCGGGTAGCAGATCACCACGTGGCCACACTGAGCGGCCACAGCCAAGAAGTGTGTGGGCTGCGCTGGGCCCCAGATGGACGACATTTGGCCAGTGGTGGCAACGATAACTTGGTCAATGTTTGGCCTAGTTCTCCTGGAGAGGGTGGCTGGGTTCCTCTGCAAACATTTACCCAGCATCAGGGCGCTGTCAAGGTAAGAGAGTACTTGGGTTGAGGTCTTTGCAAATGACCTCTATTATAACTTGGGAACTACTGGGGAAAAAGGGATAGTGAGATTAGAATTTGTAGCTCAAGGATCTGTTGACCCTGCCTTTATCCCACCTAGGCTGTAGCATGGTGTCCTTGGCAGTCCAATATCCTGGCAACAGGGGGAGGCACCAGTGACCGACACATTCGCATCTGGAATGTCTGCTCTGGGGCCTGCCTGAGTGCTGTGGATGCACATTCCCAGGTAGTCTTTTATGTATTTCAGCCTCACTCCACACGTGGTACTGTTTGTGGCAACCATGTCCATACCAGTGTCTTTACTACCTCCCCAACAATTGGCTTAGCCCTCAGTCCGGAGCTCTATTTCTGTGTCTGTGTAGGTTTATATCCTCTCTTATGATCTCTAGCCACTGCCCCTCCATGTCTTATATTAAACTTGTCACTTCCCCTGCCTCCCTGAAATTTCTCTCCCTTTTCCTCCTCTACCTTTCTTGCTTCAGAATGGCAGAAACTGCTAGGAAATTTTTTTTTTTCTTTTTTTTTCTGAGACAGAGTCTTGCTATATAATTTAGGCTGCCCCTGAATTCCACATGTATCCCAGGCTGGCCTCAAACCTTGTGGCAGTCCTCCTGCCTTGGCCTCCCAAAGCTGGGATTACAGGTATGCACCACTATGCCCAGCTCCTGCTAGGAAATCTAAAAAGCCTCCTAGAATCTTATCTTTCCCACCAGGATCTATCTGATCTACCTTAAAGTATCATTCACATCTATGCCATCACCTTTGCCTCATCTTTCTAATGAAGGCCCAAAACAGTGACCTCCTGACTGATCTTCAAGCATTTTGTGTCATCTCCAATCTGTCCTGTATTCTCTGGTGCGAGTGATTAGTACTGTGCCTCTTAAACCTTTAATGGTTTCTCATTACCTACAGTGTATAATTTAAATCCATTAGAAAGATTGTTGAGGCGCTTGTTGGTGAGCCTACATCCAGTCATTCCATCTTCCTCTCCTTCAATTTCCCCCACGTGAAGCCTTCACTCTAGGGCCAGATGCTTCCCCTCCAAATTCTGACTCTGTCACCTACTAATTTGCATGTAGTTTAGGCAATTTATTGAACTTTTTCTGGTTAATCTGTAAAAAGAATAAAAGGGTTCCTCAAAGATCTCTTGTAAGCATTTTTTTTCCTTATAAGCATTTTCTTTTCTTTTTTTTTTTTTTTTCTATCGATACCAGGGATCAAACTCAGGACCGCCTGCTTGCAAGGCAGGTGCTTATGCCGCTGAGCTAAATCCCCAGCCCTCCTTAAAAGCATTTTAACACTTAAGCCTGAGCCCAATGCCTAACACTAGCATGGACTCAGTTCTGGCTGGAGCATCCCTGAATGCATGTCATGCCCATGCCAGCCTCTCCCCACAGGTGTGCTCCATCCTCTGGTCTCCACACTACAAGGAGCTCATCTCAGGCCATGGCTTCGCCCAGAATCAGCTGGTTATTTGGAAATACCCAACTATGGCCAAGGTGGCTGAGCTGAAAGGTAGGTAGCTAAATGAAAGAAGCCAAGTGAAAGGCCATATGTTACATAATTCCATGTATATGAAATGTTCAGAATAAATACAGGGAGACAAAAATAAATTAGTATTTCTCAGGGGCTGAGGGCAGAGGGTAATGAGAAGTGATAAAAAAATGTTTCAGGATTAGTTATTATGGTTGCACAACTTCACACATACACTGAAAACCATTAAACTATACTTTTCCCCAGCAAAAATATCCTTCAGAAACAGCCAAAATAAAGTTTTTTTCAGACCTAAATAAAATTGTACTTTTAAAAGGAATTAATTTTATTTTTTATTTTTTTGGTATTGGGGATCAAACTCACGACCTCACGCTTACCAGGCAAGCACTTGAGCCGCTGAGCTAAATCCCTGGCCCAAGGAATTAATTTTATGGTGTATTAATATTTCAATTAAAGTTGGAGGACCATAAGTGTGTCTACATTCGTATGTACTGCTCTCACTTTTCCCAGGTCACACAGCTCGGGTCTTGAATTTGACCATGAGTCCAGATGGGGCCACAGTGGCTTCAGCAGCAGCAGATGAGACGCTGCGGCTATGGCGCTGCTTTGAATTGGACCCTGCGCGGCGGCGGGAGCGGGAGAAGGCCAGTGCAGCTAAAAGCAGCCTTATCCACCAAGGCATTCGTTGAAGACAAACCAATCACCTCTGTTTTTTATTTTTCTAATAAAGTCATGTCTCCCTTTCTTCTCCTTTGCATGGCCTGTGTCCCAGCAGCCTTCTCAGAGGCTCCTCTCTACTGTGATCAGAAAACTTCTTTTTTGTTGTTTTGTTGTTTTTTTTTGACACAGGATCTTGCTATGTAGTCCAGGCTGGCCTCGAATTTGAGGTGATCCTCCTATCTCAGCCTCCCAAATGCTGGGATTACAAGTGTGCACCACTATGCCCAGGTCAGAGAATTTCATAAAAATATGTTACAGGAGACTTTACCAATCCTCCTGTTGATAGACAGGAATAAAACAGGCTGTGTATCTGTGTCCCCTGACCATTCACACATGTACATACAGTCTCAGTAGTTTCCTCTGTCACTTTAATTAAGATACAAGTGAATGAGTATGCAGCCTCTCCAGCTTGCATTCCCAGGCCACCCACCCTTGATCTTTGGCCCAGAAGCTTCTCTGCTTCTTGTGGAGTGGAGGAGGGAGAGGGAGCCTTGGTCCATAGTGACAGATTATTGCTGACCTCGTCAGTGTGAGGAAAAAGGCCACGAGACCCTGGTGGGGACCAGCCCTGAGTGTTTCTTTCCCAAGTTTCAGGCAGGGAGGGGAACGTAAGTGTCCAGCCCTTTTAGCCTCCAGTTCTGGAGTGGCAGAGGGCAATGTGGCCACCCCCAGAGCTGGCTGGCAGAAGTGGAACAACGGAAGCAGTGGTCCCTGTAGACCAGCTGTGAGGAGGGTGAGTCCCCTGCTCAGTCCTGACCACAGAAGCCCTCGTCACAGGTGCAGTGGAGAGGACTTTGATGGATGCTGCCCGAGGTGCAGTCCTGAGGCACTTAGGTGGGCGCCTATCTAGGCCATGTTTCTCAGTTGGCCTTGACCTTGGCAATATCTGGAACTCCATTTTGCTGAAGTACACGGGGCAACCGCTTGCCTTTGGTATAAGACTGATACCAGAAATTGGAGAACAGCACAAAGAAGATGGTACCATACATCCAGATGAGGTGGATGATAATTGGGTATTGGTAGCCACAGCTGGGCATGAAGTAGTACTGGCTGATGTGCAGTGAGACCAAGACAAACTGGATCTAGGATAAAGAACAGCCAGATCAGAAAAGATAAGGACTTGGGGGGGGGGGAATTGGAGAGAGGGAAGAGACAGCGAGACAAACACTGATTGGGGGGAGATGGGGTCAAAGGTGAGACAGTTGGACAGAGAACTCCAACTAGGAGTGTTGGATAGGGATGGGCATAGGCAAGCGGGCCTCACCAGCTGAATGGCTGTCATGTGCTTTTTCCACCAGAGATAGGGCTGCGCCACAGGACCAAGGGCAGACAATCCATAGTACAGGTACATGACAACATGCACTGAGGAGTTTACCATGGCATGGAAAGAGCCCATTCCTCCTGTGAGGGGACAGTAATACAGGGTCAGGAGAACTGAGAGTCACTTACTAGTATTCCCCAATGGCCTTTAGCACTCACCTGGGGCAACAGTTATACCCCACCACCAGCTCCAGGGAAGCACGGAGTGATGGAAGACATGGAGGAAAGTCACCTGCCCATCTTTTTTTCGGAGAATAAAGATCACCTGAGAGAAGAGTGAGGAAGGGTTTAGAAGCAAGACCTTTCCTTCACTTTCAAGCTCTCACGTCTCCTATAACTACTCACCGTGTCCATCAGCTCAATGAATTTGGAAAAGAGGAAGAGCCAGGCCACTCGAACCATCTGTAAGAAGCCAGGGCAGCCTTAGGACCCCACACACTGCTCCAAGAGCCTCCCTAAACTGGGCCATAAATAAAGATCTTACCCAAACTTCTCCCATCCCACAGGTTGCCTAAGACCTCACCCCATCCCCTACTTACCCTAAGTGCCTCTGGGCTGTTGGAATAGTCCACAGGGTCACAGCGCCAGGTATAGGTACTCAGCCAGCCAGACATCAGGAACTAGGAAACAGTGTATGAATCAGACCACCAGAGTTCCCCTCTCAAAGCATCCCTCCCCTTCTCTAGCCAAAGAAATGGAACAAATGGATATGAACCTCTCCAGAAAGGAAAGAATGCCAGGCTCTGGCCCAATCCTACCACCCTTATCGTGCTAGCAGGAATTACAGCCTAGGGATCATGGCCCACCTCATAGACAATGTAGAGAGACAGTGCCACCAAGGAGAAGTTGTAAACAATCATGAAGCCTCTGAGTTGGAAGGGCTTCCGATTAGCCATGATGCGAGGTCCAAGGGAGAGGACGAAGTACACGTAGGTTAGGAGGATGGAGGTCATTAGCAGGGGGGACCCCATCAGAGGGTAGCTCTGGACCCGGGGATCTGTGAATAAGTGTTAAAGGAGTCAAGAAAGATAACCCAGGGCCTACCAGGTCTACAGATATGAGGGGTTCATAGGGGCTCTACCCATCGGACCTAGCCCTAGATCCTGGGATCCCACGAAAGAAGGAAAGGAAGGGCTGGTGGACAGCATCTTACCTGCATACTTCATCACCTCCTGGTACAAGTTCACAACAGCCTCCATCCTGGCTAAGGACTCTGTGGAGCACGGAGGGTGGACATGAGATAAGGAGCACTGCACAGCCCCATCCAACGCCTGACTCCAGGAACAAGACACACAACCAGACAACTCTGAAGCCACACTGAGAAAGGGCAGAAGCACAAAGACAGGAAGGAACTACTGGAATCAGGGAAGGAGGCAATTTGGTGGGAAGATCTACTCCCCAAGCAACTTGCCTCCTGTACCACCCTTACTCTCACACCTCACTTTCTTCTCTTCTCTAGTCTTCTCACCAGAGTTTTACTTCCTGTCTTCCCTTGTTACTCTATGACAAAACTCTCAATTCCTGGTTTCTTTCCAGAGCCTTCCCACCTCACCAGCATGGAACTCATTTCCAGAATGAAGCTCCACACCCTTCCTCGCCAAGTCTTATCTCTACTCTCCAGGTCAGGACAGTTCTTCTCTCCCGGGAGTCCTCCCTTCAATCCATCCTCCCCTCCCAGGACTCTCATTTGCCTGATCCCTTCTGGAACTCACCGGTGCAGAGTTCTTCCCCTCTCCTGCCAAACACTTAAGTCCCAAGGTGCCTTCCAAGACTCTCACCTCCAGACTCCTCTCGTCTGGAAGAGTCCTTCCACTCCAGAAGCTTGGCTCTTAGAGACTCCTGCCCTAGTGGCTCCACCTGTTTGACTAGATCGGCAGCAGCCCCGCCCTCTTCCCCGCCCCTACCCACTCTGTATTGGGCATGGGGTGGAGGGTGGGTCCAGGCCACAGGTCAGTGCCTGGAGAAGCAGGACCCACCAAGATCAGGAAAGCCCAGTAAAGCCCCAGACATACCACGCACAACCCTGGATCAGCTATATGAACTAAGATCCTAGATTCTCCAGTAAACTTCCCCAGACTGGTTCCAGACACAGTCCAAGGAAATGACAAAAATTCACACCCAGCATCCATTCCTGAGCAGCCACAAATTCTCAGTTCATCCTATTTCAAAATAGATAGAAGCACCTTTTCTTCTTAGGGAGGGACAAGGAAGCTAGTGGCAAGTGAAGAGGTGGGGAGTGGGAGAGGTCTTAGGAATTTCCTAATGGGCTACCTTCTCCTCCACAGTCAGCAGGAGGGGCAGGGAAGGGTTCACAGGGACACAATAACATCTGCCTAGAGCCAGAGGCACTTGGGACTCTGACACTGTCCAAGAGAGACCAGGCAATTGCCCTGCAGCAGGGACAACAGGTGCTCTCAGTCCTTTCCAATCAGGAAACAACCTGTGCAGTTCTCCGTGAAGAAATACACCTTCTGACACTTCCAGCATAGGCTGCACATGGCCCTTTGACACTAATATCTCAAGGGCTCCCTCACACCTCATCATCCCATCCGTCTTCAGATGGACCTCAGCAAGGTCCCAAACCCTGCCACAGACACACATACCAGCACATTTGCACACATCTGCCTGTCACACAGCTCTTGACCATGCCAACAACACATGCATCACACCAAGGGCTAGCTAGCACACATCCATACACGGCCCACATACTTATGCAGGTTTGCCCAGCTGACACACCACTCAAACTGACCTCCACGGACTATGACATGCATGCTTCCCAGGACTTATGAAGGGCATGGAACTGCACTCACATAGCTCCTATGGCACCCTGTGCAAATGCATAACCCCCATAGGCTCAGGCCCACACCTGCTGAAGTTACACATCTAGTTACACGTGTAAGCCACCAAGAGCTGACCACTCATACCATAAGCAGGCACGCATCTCCCTCAGTCACACACAGATCTCTATTGGCAGATGACTTCTTATTTCTTCTTGGCAGTCAGAGTTGGTGACCTAAACTATGGTAAGGCCTAGCGTTTAGGCGTGTGCTCTCACACAGTTCCCCTGCCACACGTGAGAGCTTATCTCTCTCAACCACTAACCCCAAGTTCACCCCAGACACACAGGCACCCTGGAAGTTAGGAGGGACTCAAGACTTGGGGGAAGGACTGCTCCCCAAGGTTGAGGAAGTCTGGGTGTGTCAGCCGGTTCCTTCCTTTTTAAAATGGATGGAAAGGAAAAAGGACACCGGCAAAGGAAAGGGAAGAGGAAGGGAGGAGAGAGGAGAGGATGGACAGGGGCATGACCAGGGGGTGGTGGAGGAAGGCCTAGGTGAGAGAGCAAATGGGGGCGACAGGGGTGGGAGGCCGGGCCCCTGAACTGGGACCTCCCACGCAGTCACCCTGGGAACAGCCTCGCCCACTGCCTGGGCAGGGCAGGGCAAGGCAAGGCAGGGTAGGGCAGGGAGGGCCGGGCCGGCCAGGCCAGCTAGGCGGGGGCGCCGGCACGTGGGGAGCCTTGGAAGAGCCGGACTCACCAGCGGGGACTAGGCGGGCAGCTGCGGAGGGCTCGGAGGAGTAGGGCCAGATAAGTCCCCGGGGCCAGCCTGCCTGCCACTTCCTCATCTGCTGGGCCGACTTTCTGTCAGCGGGGGGAGGGGGCGGGACGGCGTGGGGGGCGCCTGCTGATTGGGCGGCCGGCCGAGGCAGAGGGGCCGTCCAGCGCCGGCACGGCCGCGGGGCGGGGCAGGGGCGGGCCGCGCGATCCTGGGGCAGGAAGCAGCCCAGCCCCGGTTCCCCACCCCTTCCCTCGCATCTCTCGGGCTGCAAGGCCGGGTGGTTGCGGCCTGGCCTGCCTGGGGAGCGCCCAGCTTCTTCCTGCCGTCCAGCACTCGTTGAACTCCTCTCCTCCCTATGACCTGTCCACCAACAGGATTGTCAGCGGCAGCCCAACTTAGGCCTCGGGGGACGTTCCAGGGTCGAGACCTCCCCTCAAAGAGCCCCCTCTCCCGCGAGGCGAGTGAGACCAGGCGAAGGGAAAAGGGGGCCAGCTGCCTGGGGTGGCTGGGAGAACTTAGCGGAAGAGAGCAGCTGGTTACCGTTGCCTCCGCTCTCAGCCTATAAAATTGGCAGTGCCTCAGCATTTAAGAGCTGCCTCCGGGAGAGGATATCCTTCCAAGGAGGAGGTGGGAGAATAGCAATGGCCTGGGCAAGAACAGTGAATCATTGGCTAACCTTGTCTTCAAAGTAATGAAAGGGGGGGGGGGAATTGAAGTTGGTTAATTGTGGCTGATTGTAGCAAGTCTTGAAAGCCAAATGGGGCAGTCTGATTTTTATTCTAGAAGCAGAGGGGAAACTGAAGATTTTAAAGGAGGCTGTAACCAGGCTTGTATCATTCATCTCCCATTCACTGATCACTATCTAAGACTGTATTAAACTCTGGTGGAAACTTCCCAGCACTCAGACCTTAGGTGATGAGGTTACTACAGGAAGATAGGAGAGAGACAACAGCCAGAGATGGGGAGGAAACTGATAATACTGACATAGGTGATATGGAGATTTCCTCTAGGTTTACTATTTCTCTATACATTTAGTTGTCAATTCTAGATTGCCTGGCACCTCTCTTCACATATCCACCAACTAGACTGAACTTTGAGGGCAAGGACCAGGTTTCAGTGAAATGAAATCTCTACCACCAGCAGTTCTTGAAACAGTGCTTTGCATACAGCGCTGCTGGCTGGGATGGTGTAAATGTAGATGGAATTAAGGAAGTCAGAAAAGGTGGTGGCTGGGAGGAATAATATGTGAATTAATGGTGGGACATCATTTCATTCTAGAGCTCAAGTGGTCAAAGCCAAAATATAGCTCTGATCCAATCCATCAGTACAATACGTGCCCCTGAAAAGAAATGGCAAAAGAATCCAACTCAAAGGCCAGGGATTTAACTCAGTAGCATAAGTGTCTGCCTGGAAAGTTCGAGGTAGTGAGTTTGATCCCCAGTACCCCCCCCCCAAATCTGACTCAAAAGCTCTTTTTAACATTGTACACTAAGACCCTACCTGATCTAGTTCCTATTATCCTATTTCAGTGTCCTGAGCAATAGCCTGAACATGAAGCATCACCAAAGAATGTCAGCATCTTTTGTTATCCTCCAACCCTCAGTCTTTACCCTGGTTCAACATGAGGCACAGTCAGGGCTCTCAGGCAGTAAACCACTTCTCCCAACTATAAGCTTCCCAGCAAGGGCCATATTTTAGTCTTTTCTGTGTCTCTATATCTGACAATTAGTGACCTTCCATAGTGCACTGAGTAGATGTTAGAGTGAATGAAACAATGTGAGGAAGAAAAGAGAGATCAAGGGGCCCAGAGGCAAGACAAAGTTTGAAAATCATTTCACTTCCCTTTTGAACAGTATTCATTGAGTCAAACAATATTTATTGAAGACTTAATGTCTTCCAGGTATATTATAGTGTTCTCGAGGTCATACTTGACTCCAAAGTCCTGAGTTTAAATATTCTAATGAATAGGTGTGTGACCTTATATAACTTGTGGAATCTCTATAAAATGGGAACAATAATAGTATCTGTTCTATAGAATTATGTGACAACTAAAGGAATAAACCAAGTAAAGCACTTAGCATTGTGTCGGTCACAGCATTTAACAGACAAGGTGGGGAATCCACCTAATACATTAAGGTACCTACTTGTATGGATATGACTATAACAGCTGTCTGCTACACACTGTGTGCAAAGCATATATTCCACTAAAAAGACTACTGCAGATGATGAAACTACCTCAGAAACCAAACATAGTAGTAACAAGAAACTATACATTTATTCCCCTGGACCACATTGGTAAATGACTACAACAAGCCCTCATTTGTTTAACTAATTAAACACATGAATATGTACAAAGATATTTTGTTTAGTTCTTGTCCTGGTACTAAAATAAAGCATCTTCCAATATCTGATACGGAGCTAAATCATACCACATGTTATCTCCATTGCCCTGGAGTTCCTCTAAAACACAGTGTAGTGAAAAAGACAAATAAATGAACATTTATAGTAACATATGGTAAATACTCCTCAAGATAAATCTAGAAAGTTATGAAAGTACTGGGAGCTAGAAAGCTCCCTTAACCCAGGGAGAGGATTAATTCTTTGGCTTTTGTTGTTGTTTTGAGACACAGTATTGCTAATCTAGGCTGGTCTCGACTTTGTGGCAATCCTCCTGCCTTGGCCTCCCAAGTGCTGGTATTATAAGCATTATCACCATGCCCAGCCCAAGAGAGTTCATTCTCAATGGTGTCACAGAAATGGCACCTAAGTTGAGCAATAAAAGACACTTTCTAGAAGGCAGGGGTGTACAAACACTCTCTAGAAGGCAATTTACCCGTATGAACCCAGCTAGTTCTACTCTGGTGATTGAGGCTCTGTGTCTTGGCAGAGGACAGGAGCATATATATATGAAGACACAAAAGCAAAGAATGTGGCAAGTTGGTATGGATGGTTCCAGCTCAAGGGGCAGATGCGTAAAGACCGGAAAGGTAGGAAGGAGTCAGCTTATAAAGAGCCTTGTAGCCATGTCAGAAGTTTGGGTTTTATTCTGTTTATACTTTTCAGCTCTGGGTATACACTAGAACCATTCGGGCAGCTCAGGTGTGTGTGTGTGTTACTGGGAGTTAAACTCAGAGCAAGTACTCTACTATTATGCTACCTCCCAACCCCTTTCTATCTTTTTATTTTGTGATGGGGTCACATTGAATTGCCTGGGCTGGCCTGCAACTTGAAATCCTCCTGCTTTAACCTCCCAAGTAGCTAGGATTACAGGTACATGTATGTCACCAGGCCCAGAAGTTGGGGAGATTTTAAAATAGTGACATGCTCCCAGCACTTGGAAGACCAAGGCAGGAGGGTCACCATGCATTTGAGGCCAACCTGGGCTACATGGTGAGCTCTAAAGAGTGAGAACTTCCCTTTAGTAAGACAGTGAGGCATTGGCTGAGTGTGTAGTCAAAGTCTGGTGTAGTGACTTTTTGGCAGGCATTGGGCAGGCTGAGATGATGGCCCCTCTGCTGGGACTAGGAGGAGTCATGTTCCCCAACAGTATAGGAAGTAGGGGCTGGATGACAGGAGTGGAACTGTTTAGGATCTACAGGAAAGCTAAGCTAAGGCCTAGGAGGTAAGAGTTTAGGGAAGGCTGGGTAGAAGGAAATCCAAACAAAGCAGGCTGACAAACCAGAGAAACGGAGACCACAGGCTTCACAAGGATGAAGGCCCAGTGGGCTGGGGAAAGAATATCTGATCCAACAGCTAAAATTCTACTTCCTTCATGGACCCTTCCTGATTCATAGGAAATAAGGTGATAACTTCTCTTGGATCCCCATATGCTTCACTCTTCACTCACTGTTCTCCACAGATTCCTGTCCTCTCCCCAGAAGGCAAACCAGTGACGACTTTCTCCAAGGGCCAAACTGGGAACCACTACCTGCAGGAACTCTACTAACTTAAGTCCCACGATTGTCTAAGGCTCTGTAATTCAACACAAAAATTAAATGTTAGGGCCAGGGATTTAGCTCAGTGGCATAAGTGCCTGCCTGACAAGCGCAAGGTCGTGAGTTTGGTCCCCAGTACCACCCCCCCCAAAATTAATTAAATGTTAGTGGGACCAGAAGAGGCAGTGAGGAAGAAATGGAAAAAGGTATGTCTGCATTTTTATGAATGAGTGCTGCAGTGAAGGAAATAGAGCATGGGACTCACAGGGAAGTTAGCTGTGAGCAATAGGAAGTGAGGGTCTCAGGTAAAGGGCAAGAGGTATGGTAGGGAGAGACAGAAGCAGCCTGCCAGGGACTGTACCAAGCTGCCTGCTTCTATCTTTTAAAGGCAAAGGGTACTTCCTACACTGTACCCAGACAGAGGAACGATAAGAAGGTTGAGTCCGTGAGCACAGAGGAACAAAGATAAGGTGGAAGGTTTGCCAGTTAATCATTCTGCCCATCTCTGGACTTAAGCCAGCTAGCTGATGTCCTCTTCCTGAAACTGGCTGAAGGGGCTGTGGCTGGCAAGATGTGTGGCTGCCAGGAGAGATTGATGAATGTGCTCTTCTGTTATGTGGAGTTGCACTCATTTGGAAAAGTGAGGAACAAGACCTGATCTATGCTTGGGTGGCCAGAGCCACATACCATAGGTTGTCATTTAGTGTCTGCTGAACTACAAAACTCAGGAAGGGGGAAGACGGTGTGCTAGAACCTTCAGAAAGAACTCTGGAAAGAGAAAAAGGAGGCTTTTCCTAGGGAACAAATCAAAGCAGGCTATCAGGATGAAGGAAGGAGAGTTAGCAAGATATAGAAGAATGTAAAATGGGCAAGAGGGAAAAGAGAAGGCTATTCTACTCAGTATTTTCTCTGGCAAGCAAGAAGCTAGTTGCTTTCAATATGTGCTTATGGCTGAATTAAGGTCAGTTCTATTTGTTTTTGTT